CTGAACCCATATTATTGAGCTGGAAACCATACTAAATGAAATTAGAATTATGAAGGGAGGCATCATCAAATATTATAAATGTGCTAGACATATGAAAGAATTAGTGAGATCAGATATGGCCAATTTGAAATTCTAGAGCAGCAAAATAAAAGAATGAAAAAAAATTTGGGACAGTATTAATAGGATAAGTATTCAAGTTGCTGGAATTTAAGAAGGACCAGAGAATACCAAAGCAGCAGAAGGTGTATTTAAATAGGTAACAACAGAAAATTCTGTATTCCCAGAATCAGACACAGACACCCATGTGGTCAAAAGCAAGTACATCAAGTCTACCTCAAGATATAATTTTACCAATTTGTCCAAGGTTAGAGATAAAGGAATTAATCTCAAGGCAGCAAGAGAGAATGAATGAATAACACACAAGGGTATCTCAATTGGTCTGTGACTACTAAAACGAAACCTTACAGGTCAGATAAACATGCACTGAAGAAAATAACAAAACGATAACATCCAACCAAACAGCCAATCAGTATTAAAAAGTGAATTTAGCTGACAAAGTTGAGTGAACTTAATACCATCAGATCTTTTGAACAACATGGCCAAAGGATTTCTAAGAACCTGTTTGAAGAGATACAAGTGGTAAAATAGTAAACGCCAGTGCTAAAAAACTCGCCCCAAAAAGTAGCTATGCAGGAAAATTTAGAATGCTCTAAAGTGAACATGGTAAATAAACCATTCACATATGGAGTGTGAAAAGAAAAAGCAAAATAATTTCAAACAAAGATCATTAATATGAGATGGAAAGTACAGAAAGATGTAAAGTTATAGATAAAAATTCAAGATATGTGGAAGAATTGAAGACAAGACAATGTTTTAATGGTATTTTTATTTCTTTTGAGTTTCTTTTTGTATCTCTAAACCAATGTTTAAATTTCTCTTATTTCAAAATAGCTTCTTACCATCCAAAGGTACTTTAATTTTCACCCTTCATGGTTACTACAACGCATAAATCCATAAAATATGAACCAAAAATAATATAGAAGAAGGCAAAGCGCACTACTAGAATGAAACTCTAGACCAGAAATAAAGATTGTGCGAGAGTAAGGAGTGAGAACTCAATTGTAATAAAACTAGAAGATAAGTATGAACACTGTTTTAGTAAGCCTCTTACATCAATGACATAGTATTTGTAAACTAATTAAAATTCATATTTAAAAGATAGCGGAATGGAGCCCGGTGGTGGTGGTGCACGCCTTTAATCCCAGAACTCGGGAGGCAGATCCAGGCGGATCTCTGTGAGTTCAAGGCCAGCCTGGTCTACAGAGCGAGATCCAGGACAGGTACCAAAACCACATAGAGAAACCCTGTCTCGAAAAAAAATACATATATAGAGTGATAGAATAGACTTAAAAACTACATATTGATTGTGATAAACAAGTTGTTTTAAAGGGTATTATAGACTTAATTTGAATGAGATGAAATAAGATATTTCAGGAGAATGGAACACAGAACAAAGCATAAATAGCCACAAATTTATTAGATAAAATGAAGTATAAATAAAAATCAGTAAAAAGGGACAAGAATTTCACTAATAATGATAAAGGGATTAATACAGCTGAGAAAAAATCTAAATGTTTATGCAGTCAATATAAACATTAAGAGACATAAAGAGACTGACAATATACAATGTACTAATTAATAGAAGACATTAACACCTTCCTTTCAATGCGATGGTATTATAATATCATGTTGACATCAGTCAGTCAAACACTCAACAGCAAAATAAAGTTAACACTTCACACTTCCAATTGTACTTGATAGAAATCTTGATAGATATCCAACAACTGCAGAACACACATTCTTCTCAACAACATGAGGGAGATTCTGCAGGACAGATCATGTGGTAGATTCAAAACAAGTCACAGAAAATTAAAAAAAATTAAACTGTGTCACACAGCTTTCCTGATTATAATTCCATAAGATCCCAAATCAATAACAAGGACAAAAACATCTGAGAACTATACAGATATGTACAAACAATGAGCAACCATTAGGTCAAGGAGGAAAGTAAAAAGAAATTTTTTTTTCTTCACACAGCATATCAAGACTAATGGAGCTATATCACAAACAATTCTAAGAGGGAAGATTATAAAATCAATGGTTACATGAAAATAAACAAAAAAAATCTATTAAAGAACCAACCTATCAAAGTATCTTAAGAAGCTAGTTGAAAAAGACCAACCAAACTCCAAATTAATAGAAGGTAAAAAAAACAGAGCATACTGGTTTAAAAAAATGAAATACAGAATAGAAAATCAAAGTATTACATCATGCTCACGTTTGTGTATGGAGAATTTGATTTTGGGATCACAGCAAGTTGTTGAGTTTCAGTTAGGAGTATTATATTACTAGATGGGAGCTTGCTTGCCAATGCTTGTCTTGAAGTGGCAACAGAAAGACTACATCAGAGGTCAGGGTCCATGTGGAGAAGGTGACCTAACATAAACATTCTTTTTCTTTTTTTGTAGGGAAATGAAGACACTATGAGCCAGTGTGGGACGGATGGGATCTCTAGACAGCAAGTGCCCCAACTATATATTCTCCTTTGTTCTCTTTGTTTTCCATCATTGACTTTCTCAAGTCAAACTCTAGAGATCAACATATTCCATTATAGTCAGACATACAGTGATGGATGTTGGAACTAAATCAATCATGCTGTTTACATTTGTGTCCACTGTTATTCAGTGTGGTCTAGTTAGTGTCCTATTGTACCTCTGTAAGTAAACACCACTGTATTCTCCTACCTGGTAAGACATTCAAGATTGAACTTATGGGCCAAGATTATCAAACAATTTGGCAGAGATAGAATAAATAATTATTATTTCTTTCATTGTAGTATATTCATGAATGAGTTATTCATTCAACAAATGCTATTATATATTGCTAGACTAAAAATACTTAATCTATTTTCCTTGGCAGAAATCAATGAAATATTAAGAAAGTACCATTTTGGAGAATCAAATTTCAGGTATGAAATTGGGTTCATTGCCTACTAAATGATTTTCAAGAAGACATCCCAAAGAATGAGTCATTTTAGACCTGTTACTACATAAAACTGAAATTTAGGTGCCTATAATTCTTAGCTATAGACTCTGTACTTTTCCATAGCCTAGACCACACTTGAAGCTTTTATTTGTTGTCTCATATTCTGAATGCAAACCCATATCTCATTACATGCTGTATTACATCAGTTTTTCAAGACACAGAGATAACAAATATTTAAAAATCTCTGGAGAATTCATTAACCATTATGCTCAAATTGTGACATCCTGCTGTGATCTTGTTGATAGGAGTGCAGAAAGGAACTGGAAAGAACCACAAATTGAAATGTTGACACTGACAGGGTTACAACCTCTTTCCTGCATGTATCCTGATTCCTCTCTAAGGACTACAGGAAGCCTTATTAATTCATCCTGCTTGCTTTCAGAGTCAGAACGTTCACTCATGGTGAGAATAACTCTTCTACAAAGTGCGTGAGACCAGGGGAAATATAAAAGGGAGGATAAAAGAAAACACAGAAGGGCCATTGAAAGGCAAAAGGGCGGACAGGCATCAGAAGACTGAAGAGAAGGACCAAGAAAGCTCAGCAAGTAAAAAGTTCTCAGTTCATTTAATTACCTATTTTTTTTAGTGATTCTCTCTCTCTCTCTCTCTCTCTCTCTCTCTCTCTCTCTCTCTCTCTCTCTCTCTCTCTCTCCTGTATTCTTGTACCATTCAACTTAAACTAGAAAAATTTCACAAACAGGCCAGACTTCCACTTCAGGTGGCATCTGTCCACGTACTTGTCTACATGAAGCAAATGGTTATTGCAGATATAACAGAGGAGGAATTTCAGAATGAGGTTGAAATTCCAGCAGACAACCTTAAAACTCCCACTCCAACCCAAATACCAGTAACTTTTCAATGTGTTTTTACATCACAGAGTCTTAAACACACTTTGCAAGTTTCCTAGACTTTCAAATTTATAAAGTAATCCTATAAACTCCAACCTCCATTTTTAGGAAAATGCTGGAAACCATGCCATGCATATGTGGATGAGTTTGAAATTGTATGATCAGAAGCACTAGAAGTTAGACAGTCAAAATAAAGCAGAGCTATCATATGAAGGGTTGTAAGATAACATCAGTAACCGTCACTACTAAATGTTGTATAAAAGTGAGAACTTCAGAATGTTCTTGTGGAAGCATATACTCATAGCTTGATGAATTTTCTATGATTTTATTTGCACCCTACATGGGGAAGCTTTTCCTTTCAGAACTGACACTGGATTGAATATAAAGCACATCACATAGTCCGCAGTATCAGAGGAGCTTCACGTTACAGAAAAATATTAAAAGGTGATTCCTATCTTGATATGGTTGGGTTGTCACTGTGTGACAAAGATATGAAATTGGCATATTCCATTTCATATTTTCTTGTGTGTGGTGATTTTTTAAATTAAATTTATTTTTTTATTAAGGAATTTTTTTATTCATTTTACACACCAATCACATTTTTTAATTGTTAATTTTAGATTACAATGCAAAGTGATGAGTTTCTTATTTCCAAGGTGATTCACTTTCTTCCCCCAGTTAATTCCTAGTTAAATCTGTTGTCTTATTATTGTGGTCTACTACACTCTTGGTTTCCCACTTTTCTTAAGATCTCTTTGTTCTTTTTAAGATAAGTGGGACCTTTAATGGGCTTGCCTTTGTGAAGCTGAAGGGAAGGTCTTGAGGGCAGTAAAGATATCTTACTTTAAGGTTAACTAACAATGAAATGGAGATGATGAAGTAGAATGTAGAGTGGATTGAGGAGTGACTGTACATAAGCACTGAAGGTTTTTGTTGTTGTTGTTGCTCTTATTCACTGTTCTTCCCCGACACAGGTCTTGGACTTGTCAATGCCTTACTCATTAAAGAATAACCGTGAAATTGCATTGTGCTCTAACAGTCAGCCCAATGGCAACCTCAAACTCCAGCAGCATCGTGTCCTCCACATTCTACCTCACAGGCATCCCTGGCTATGAGGAATTTCACCACTGGATTTCCATCCCATTCTGCTTCCTTTACCTTGTTGGAATAACAGGCAACTGCATGATCCTGCACATTGTACGGACAGACCCCAGACTCCATGAGCCCATGTATTACTTCCTGGCTATGCTTTCACTCACTGACATGGCCATGTCCCTGCCCACAATGATTTCACTTTTTAGAGTGTTGTGGTCCATTTCAAGAGAGATCCAGTTCAATATCTGTGTGGTCCAAATGTTTCTGATTCATACTTTTTCCTTCACTGAATCATCTGTGCTCCTGGCCATGGCCCTTGACCGGTATGTGGCCATCTGCCACCCCCTGCGATATGCTACCATTCTCACCCCAAAACTTATTGCCAAGATTGGAATTGCAGCTCTGCTCAGGAGTTCTATTTTGATAATTCCACTTATGGCCCGTCTAGCATTCTTTCCCTTCTGCCGCTCCCATGTTCTTTCTCATTCTTATTGTCTGCACCAAGACATGATCCGCCTTGCCTGTGCTGACATCAAATTCAATGTCATATATGGGCTAGTCCTCATTACTTTGCTGTGGGGCATGGACTCCCTGGGCATTTTTATATCTTATGTTTTTATCCTTCACTCAGTGTTAAAAATTGCATCCCGTGAGGGTAGGCTTAAGGCACTCAACACATGTGCATCTCACATCTGTGCTGTGCTTATTCTATATGTGCCCATGATAGGATTATCTATTGTCCATCGTTTTGCCAAGCATTCCTCTCCCCTAATTCACATCTTCATGGCTCATATTTACTTATTGGTTCCACCAGTGCTTAACCCAATCATATATAGTGTGAAGACCAAGCAGATCCGCCAAGGAATCCTCCATCTGATTTGTTCTCCCAGAATCAGTTCTATCACAATGTAGGCATGTCATCAAGATAAGAAAGGCATCAGTACTTGCGATGTGAATCCTGGTAAACTGTCTGCTCCAGAGTAGTCAACAAAAGACTAGATAAAAAGCAGAAACAAGTCAACAAAACACCACAAAGAGGCTGTGACAGAGCATGCTGATGTCCACTGTGTCTAGAAAGCCTGTCTTCATATTTGTTTCATAAATCTTCTTCAATTATGGATATGTTGCAGAGTAGTGTATTGGTAATCATTTCCATTTATTCTCTGCCACCTCCATTACAAATTTTGTTCAAGATGATTTATCCATGAATATAATGACTTCATATTACTTTTGGTATTATATAACATGTATCATGAAGTTTTAAGATATCTTAATCTTCTATAAAGATAATTATTATCTGTGTAAATGTGTTTAAAGTTGGTGAATTGTTATTTAGAAATGAGAATGTACCATAGCTTAGAGTAGACCAATACTAATGTTCTTTAGCATCAATTTCAAATTGTGTATTTATATACACATCTCTTCCCTATCCGAGGAGGAAATATAAAGGGCCAGCCTCAAATTTTTGTAACTTAATCTTTGAGTTTTTTTTTTCTTTTTGTGATGCCTGAGACCAAGTCTAGGCCCTGGTGCATGCAAACAAACTCTTCTACCAGCGAACTATCCCCCAGCCTAATAATTTCAATGTTAAAGAAAGCAAAGAGTAATTTCTTGACAATTTTCTAATTGTGATGTGATCATGTGAAACTAATGTTATAATCCATTGAATTAAATGTCCTAATAACAATTTATATAATAATATTAGTTTAATTAATATTAAAATAAAAACTACTAATGAAAATATTTTAAAAAATGGTGGAAACTGAAGTGTAAGACCTTAGAAGTTGTGTTAGCAGGAAACAGATAACCTAGGTCTTCTGATATTCATCTAGACCTCTTTTTAATGTAGAAAGCCATTATTCATTATAGTTTTGAAGTTAGTCTGTGGTCATGCATAGAGTAGGATAATAATACTTTTAAGATTAATTGGGCTTTCTTAGATCATGTGCTACACTGGCAACAACATGAATGCAATCAAACAAACAATCAGATGGAAAGATAAGTTAAGACTGCAGAGTGTCTGTGTCCCCTATACTGATAGGTCTCAAAAATAGATGATGCATTTTCACATACATTTTCCTAACTGTTAAATAGGAATTGTGACAATTGAACTATGCTTGTTATGAGGACTTAAAGTTGCTGTATGTAAAACGAATAAGAAAAATTAGACCTTGAAAAAAAGAATAACTCATTTCTATGTTCATTTTAATATATATGGCTGTCAGGAGATTTATTTAAAAAATAAAATCCATTTTAATAATTTAAAATTAAAATCTTCAAATTATAAGCATCTGATGTCATCCTGAAAAAGCCATAAACTATTGTTTGTATTTTAATTTTGGTTTGATTGTATCTGTTTATGCTGTTTATTCTTTTCCCCCCTAATTTGTTCAATTTATTTATTCTTATCTTTTGCCTGTTTATTACTCTATCCTACAACACATTCATCTTGACAAAAGGAATATAAAATAAAGCAAGAGATAAGATTATAAAATGTAATGATTCATTTTGTAATATGATACATCTTTAAAGTCAAATTGACTTCATTAAGATATTTTTAAAGATTTATTTTTATTTGATGTGTATGAGTGTTTGTCTGCATGCATGCATATACACAACATGAGTGACTTGTGCCCACCAGGGCCAGAAGATGGTATAGGATTCCCTGGAACTGGATTTACAGATAGATTGTTTAAGCCACCATCAGTGTTCTGGGAATCAAACCTGGGTCCTCTGTAAGAACAGTAAGTACTCTTAACAGGTGAGCCATCTCTCCAGCTCCTTTAAGAATCACATTTACAGCCGGGCAGTGGTGGTGCACGCCTTTAATCCCAGCACTCGGGAGGCAGAGCCAGGAGGAGCTCTGTGAGTTCGAGGCCAGCCTGGGCTACCAAGTGAGTTCCAGAAAAGGCGCAAAGCTACACAGAGAAACCCTCTCTCGAAAAACCAAAAAAAAAAAAAAAAAAAAAAAAAGAATCACATTTACAAAGAATATGAGCATCACACGTTCATCAATAATATTTTATTGTCGCCATATAAGTGATAACTTCAAAGGCAAATTTATTTTAAAAATATGTATATTGAGCACACTGAATACAGAGAAACTGTGCGTATGGAAATCACTTCACAGTAGGATGGTACAACATCATCAAAGTAATGACAAATGGAAGTCTTAAAATACTCGGAGTTTCATGATCTTGGTGGAATTATTATTTCCTTTGTTCTGCATTAGAACTGCATGTTTCTGATCCTGTATAGGTCTGGAGTACCCTGTTAATTTTAGGATATTTGTCTCTTCTAAGCTTATCTATTAACATTTATATAACATTCTGTATGTTAAATCTTTAAATCGTATCCCACTTCAACTGAGCAACATGGAACTGTTTCTAAAGAGTATGCATTGTGAAATGAAAGCAGATGAACTCAGTTTCCATATTAGTGTTGGGAAATGTACAAGGCTAATTGTTTGCTTTCATGTCCAAATGTTTGCACATAACTGCGCTGTTTTCTTTACATGTGTATAGACATGGAATCTCTGTGTTTTCCAAAGTCCAGTAACATAACTAAACATCAATATAACTAATTGCAGAGCTAACATAACTACCAACTTTTCCACTGAGGACTTCATCCCCCAAAGCCTTAGCTTTTGTATATTCCAACCATTTCTAGGTAAATGGTTTTGTGTTGACACTGTAGTGTGAAACAATCCTCTGAAAACTTTCACGAATTAGAGCTTATTTTAGTTGCTATGTGCAGCAATGTATATGATAAGCAAGTTGAAAGACATGTGAGAAAGAAATATTTGTAGATATAAAAATCACAATTATGTGCTTTAAGAGTAGGTATTATTATTATCTTCATCATACTTAAGAAACTAATTTAATCAAGTTGTTAAATAATTCTGTGTGTTGGAGCTCCCATATCTATAATTAGCATTATTAGATTCATTAAAAATATGGAGATTTTTAAGACCAGCAAGAGCTGGTGTTTGAAAAATGCTACTTACAATAACAGCAAACTGCCTGTGTTTGACTCTGTCCCAGGCCTCCCTTTCTTTGCTCATAGTTCATGTCAGAGAATGAGCAGCTCAGAAAGACAACCACAGAGAGGCCGACACACTCAGCCACACACACTACATACATAATATTTCTGAGATCATTTGAAAACCTTGAATAGTTGTCAACATCTTCATTCTAAGCCCAAACTGCAGGTTTTATTTTTCTATTGATGTTCATATCTTCCACTTACAAGAACTTTCTATTTCACTTAATCCAGCCTCATCATTTCTGTCCTTCATTAGTTACTTAGGTAACATAAGAATTAAAATAAACTGTAAATAGAATTTTATTATTTAATGTTTCCAAAAAATATTCTTTCTGTACCAACATTAGAGATATGAAGTTGATTAGGTCAATGTTCATTTCCAATATGCAACTGCCAAAGTGTAATTGTATAGGAATTAAAATGAGTGGATTTTATTTATGTATTTCCTTACCCAAGTTCTCCTTAAAAATTCATATCTCAATAATATCACATGGGACACCAAAACAAGTGAAAGAGATACAAAAGACATATGTGAAAAAAGTCTGTAATACCATGATAGTTTACTAAGTCATAAAACATTCAGTTTAAATTTAAAAATGACATTTGTATCTTCATATAGCATAGTTTTAAGTGTATCCACCTTTTAGTAAATGTTATTTTTCTTTATTATGTGTATGAGGGTTCTGCCTGCATGTATGTCAGCATACTGCATTCATGCCTGGGGCCCAAAGAAGCCTGAAAAGGATGTTGTATCACTGTAACTGGAGTTACAGGTGGTTGTGAGCCTCCGTGTGGGAGCTATGAACTGAAACCAGGTCCATTGCAAGAGCAGCAAGTGTTCTTAGTTACTGAGCCATCTCTCCAGACCTTAAAAGAAGCAGCCAAAGCCCAAGAGGAAACTCAGTCCTCTTCCTGGGAGAAGTGGCACAAAGTGTAAATCCAGTCTTGGGGAATGAGGTTCACTAATAACCTATTAGCTTTGTGGAATTCACAGGGTTATCACGACAGTGCAGAGGGACATTGTGCTATTATGTGTTTTCCTCTGTTCCAGTTCTGGTTTCCTTTGATCTTCTGTCTCTAAGGGACCATCAGCTCTCCAAATCCGAGGGGCCTCCTGGGAAGTGGACTACTATATTACAAAGCAACCATAGCCACCAAACTGACTCAAAGTCCGCACTGAATGATAATCAGTTGCTTTTCATATCATCTGCATCATAGACACTGAAGCAGTATTCAAGGTGAAGAAAAAGCAAGATAGGAAAGGAAGAACTGTACACACATAAATGACAGTACATAGTTTAATAATTTGATTTATTAGGGAAGTGAAGTATACTTAATATCATATTGTTCATAGAAGGGCCTTGTTAGTTTGCTACAAGACTATTTCAGCTAAGTAACTTAGGATAGAAATGATTCAGAAATAACATATTCTAAGAAGACAGTTGGAGTAAATGGTGCTTGGACAATAACTGTGAATGAATGGGCCACTTATAGAGAAGAAGAACCTTTAGATACAAGATAAAATATCCATGAATTATTATTGGACTATAGAAGGTGCAGAGATTTTCCCTGAGAATTTATTGTGACTGTGTTGGATTTCTGTAAATCCTTTTAGTGCTCAAATCTCAGAAATGAGACTGACAACAGACAGAAATCAAAAGGTCAGAACTCCAGCAAAAATAGAGTTAGCAGCAGCTGAGGGAATACTGGCATCAAGTAAACCCAGAGAGAAGTACCGTTCTGAGTAGATGGTGCTGCCACTGAAGAAAATGTACTGTGATGGCACAGAAGTGACATTTACTGAATTCAGTTAGGGTTATCCTTATATGTGTTGTTACAATATATTAAGATAAAACATGTATTAGACTCAAAAGGGGTACTGTCTTTTATATTTATATATTATGCGTAATATTATATATAATTTATATTTACATATTATACTAAAACATGCCTTTATCTTTTAATAGAGTCTTCTTCTCTTAAAGAAAGAGTTCCAGGTAAGGAATTTGATTCAATGATTGAGAAACAAGCAAATCTGGGTACTGGGAACTTGGCTTGAAAGTTTGTGTTTGTATTCTAATGAGAGAGAGAAAGAAAGGGTGTGGATTTGGGTGGGTGGGTAAGTGGGAAGGATCTGGGAGGAGTTGGTTGGAGGAGGGGGAAACTGTAATCAGAATATATTGTATGAAAAATATATTTTCAATAAACAAAGATTATAGAAAAAGGAACTAGTTGAATAACTGTGTGAACAGAGATCTAGAGGTGAGGGCAGTCTGTGCAACTCCTGGTGCTGATGTTAAGAACGACCCTCCATAGTAAATGACCATCTCCAGATTCCACTGGAAGTAACTCTAAGTGACAGAGATGACTATCTTAGGAGAAAAAGGGATGGTACAAGCAGATCATATCTGCAGTCTGTAAAGAAACTTACCCTAGTGGAAATCACTTTAAAAAAATAGATTGCAAGCCTTGTGTCATGCAGGTAACATTATCAGAAAGATCATTTTCCTTATTGTAACGATGGATTTGCAGAGGATATGTTTGCTTATTTATGCTTTGGCCAAGTTTACTTGCTAAATTTTATGGCTCTATTTTTAGGTGAGCTCATTTCCTTCTTACATCACGAGCACTGTGGTTCTGCTGATCATGCTCTGCCAGCTTCCATTAGCCCCACGCATGTTTGATTCTCCCAGAAGCAAGCAGGAGAGTTGACTATGGCTTAACAGCTCTCCTGGAGGACCATCATATGAGGGCTGACACATAGACATTGTTTAGTAAAAACACAGTGTAACATATTGTAACTTGAGAGCTCAAGATTTATATCTTGCTTTAATTTCTTATCTTTATGTATTGCTCCAAGCTTCATCATCTGTGTGGTAATTCTAAATCTAAAAGTTTTCCCTATTATGATGAAAAAATATTTTCTAAGTTTTTTGATGTTTTGGATAAGTCCCCGAAAAATTTTTAATTCCCCATAAAAATACCTCAGGAAATAATTTACATTGGATATTAAGTGGATGGTTAAGCACAGAATGCAGAGACCATGCCATTTTTTTCCCCATGAAGCTATTATTTAGACATTCATACATGAATAATTCCCATTGGGAATTTTTGAAAAGATGTGATATGGAGACTTTTAGTTCATATTCCATCATTTGAATGGTAGGTGGGAACTAGACTCTGAGAATCACAGACGGCTGTGTTAGAAACTTCAGAATACAGTCAGGAGAAGAGTCCTAAACAGACTGTCTTGTTGCTGAAAGCAACACTCCAAATTGCTGAGTCCAATTGCTGAGTCTTTGATACCCAGGAATCAAAAGAGGAATGCCAGAGCTGGAGGAAGGCTGTGGCTCAGCAAGGAAACTGGATTATTATTATTATTATTATTAATGTCAACTAAAGTTGTCAATAATTCAAGAACATCTTACTGCACAAAAATGGTTGTTTCTTCATTTTATATTTTTATGGTAACTTTTCCATCAGGAGATCATCATATGGAGTTAATATTGTTAAGTAAAAATGTCTGTAGGTCATTTTCAGAAATTTCGATCTGCCTATGCTCTAAGCCGTGACTGAAAATCACCATGGTGTCGCTTGTGATAAACTCCCAAGTCACCAAAATGAATGCAAAACTAGGTGGATAAGAGACCTTCAATAAATAAGTGCTGCTTAGATGGCTCAGTGGGGAAAGGTGCCTAATCATTAAACCAGGTGACCTGTGTTCAATATCCGGGGCATACACCGAGAGAAAAGACTGCTAAAAGTTGTCTCCTGACCTCCACATGTGTGTTGTGGCACATGTGTGTACACTACAGAGAATAAAATAAATGTACTAAATGTGTTTTAAAAAGAACTAAGTAACAAAATAACAGTCAAAATTTCTAAATAAGACTCTTGCAATTGGTATTCGTCATTATAAAAAGGCAGCCTGTGGTGACCTAATGCCAACTAGTGTCTAATTTCTTTATTGATTTGTCTTCCTGTCTCCACTTTAAAAGGAAAACAACTTTAAAATAACCAACCTAATTTTTGTTATGTCTCTTTCTTCATTTTCTCACCCCAAACCAGCCTCCTCTGCTCGTGGAATGTTCTTTCTATTTATACGATGAAGCATTGCCCAGCTCTGAAGTGGAGAATGAAGTAAAAGATGTTTAAATCTGTGAAGTAAAAGATGTTTAAATCTGTATAGTGTTCACTTTTGACAACCCAAAAGACATATAAATTCACCTTTGATGCATTGTGAAGCACTTAGTTTCTATGATTGGATTTGCTTTATTCTTATTAGACCTTTTTTTGAATGCCAGCAATGCAGCTAGGCTTCCTAAGGATAACAGTATTCTATGATAAGTGATTTCTTGAAATGTATGCCGATTGTTGGTCTTTGTATATATTTATGTTTATGCTTGTGCTTATTCTATTAACTGCCCATGTAACAGCAAATGAATTATTTGTAGTAGGATTTAATTACGTGTTAAAAATCGGAAAAAAATTCCTAAGTAAATGTAATATTTCCCTTTGCAAGTGCAGATCCTGTGCCTCTAAATGCAGATCCAGTGCCACTAACGGTTGAAAAAATTTTTTTCTGAGGATTAACAAAGGTGTGGAAAACAGTCACATCTTCAAGGTGGGTTTTATTCAGTGACTCTAGATTATCCAATGAAGACATTTAAAATTCACCTAACAATCCTATTTTCTGCCTGCTGGGCATTTTTTTTGGTTACTGTATTATTAAATGTGCAGCATCCCTAGGTTAACCATGGAAGGCAATGCTACACATCACATTTCATCTTTCTTTCTGGTTGGTATTCCTGGGTTGGAAAACTTTCACTGCTGGATTGGCATTCCTGTCTGTCTTCTCTTTGTCCTGACCTTGCTGGGGAACAGCATAATCATTACTACAGTCAAGCTAGAGCCAAGTCTCCACCAGCCTATGTATTTCTTCCTTTGCATGCTGGCAACGAATGACATGTGTCTTACCTGCTCTGCAGCTCTGAAGATGCTTGGCATCTTCTGGTTTGATGCACATTGGATCGACTTTGATGCCTGTCTAACACAAATGTTTTTTATCCATACACTTTGCATCATGGAGTCTGCCATCCTAGTGGCCATGGCTTTTGATCGCTTTGTGGCCATTTGCATCCCACTGCATTATGCATCAATCCTGACAACACCCATGGTGATTAAAATAGGCCTAGTTGGCCTAAGCCGAGCTATGCTTATGATTATGCCATGCCCCCTTCTCATTAAAAAGCTGCTGTACTATACCAAATATGTCATCCATCATGCTTATTGTGAGCACATGGCTGTGGTGAAGGTGGCTAGTGCTAACACCTATGTGAACAGAATATATGGAATCTTAGTGGCCTTTTCAGTGGCAGTATTTGACCTCGGGCTCATAGCCACATCTTATATAAAAATTCTCCAGGCAGTGTTCAGGCTCTCTTCCCAGAGAGCTCGCTCTAAAGCCCTGGGCACCTGTGCTGCCCACTTCTGCACCATTCTTGCTTTCTATACACCTGCATTGTTCAGCTTCCTAACTCATCGTTTTGGCAAGAATGTGCCTCCAAGTGTCCATATAATCTTTGCAGTCCTGTACCTGCTAGTGTCCCCCACAGTCAACCCCTTGGTGTATGGTGTTAAGACCAAACAGATTCGTGATCGAGTGATGGGTCTTTTCTTTCTTAAGAAGAAAATTTCTGAATACTAAACCATATTGATACAACTTTTGTTGGAAGAATGTGTTTTTCACAGTAATAGTGCATTAGCCTTAGTTGCCACTCTGTCCTCAAAATACTATTTAATAGAAGATATTATATTACATATATGATATCATATTTCTGTATTATCTTCAACATTCAATTTCATGAAAACTGCTGATAAAATTATTTAACATTTTATTGAGAATCTTCAAATTTCACAGTTCTGGTTTCTTCTTTTCTTTTTTCTTTTTGAGACAGGGATTTGCTATGTAGACAGGACTGGCCTTCAACTTGCAGAGACCCATTTGCCTCTGCTTCTCAAGTGCTGGGATTTAAGGCATGTGACACCAAGCTCAGCTATAGTTTAGTTTAATATAAACACACATTTATCCATTGTCATCTATCTTCTTGTCTATTTCTCTGTTTACAAATAGAGATGTATTTAAGTATATTTAGTGTCATATTTCAAAGTAAAATAAATGTAACAATGGTAGTTTTGATTCTAGTATATTAAAATTTGTAAAATATCTTCAATAACCTTTTTCCATTCATCAGAAAAATGAGGTTACATGGCAAATTGCCACTTCAAAATGTGAGAAGAGGAAACAAAATCACAATCAGTATGTATTGATCTGAAATAGAATGCTTGCCCTATAAGAACAATTCTTCTGAGATGTGGAAATTGATATAGCTCAAAGATTCAAATCTATGTGAAGAGAGTCCTTCAGAAAAGATACAGGTGAAATACTGATTTCATTTTTCATTATTTAATATATAGTGCACTGTTCAAAGAACTAGTGGTATTGAGGCAATATATAGATAACAACATGATGAGATAGCAGATGAAAGTACTACCATGCTCATAGGTTGACAGAATTGATATGCAAATTAAATATGATAGTTAAGACATTTTAGAAATTCTTAGAAGAAATAAAAACTGACAAATGGCCCTTTGATATGACAAATATAGGAAACAATGCCACTTAAGTGCAGAAACAGGGACAAGTTACTAACTTAATTTTAGAAATGAACACAGTGTAAACATTAAGAAAAAAGGAACCAACATAGAAAGGCTTTGCTTTAGTTCAGATTATTTTTTCAATACAAGGTTTCTCTGTGTTGCTCTGGCTGTCCTGGAACTCACTCTGTAGACCAGGCTGGCCTGGAAGTCACAGAGATCTGTCTGCCTCTGCCTCCTGAGTATTGGGATTAAAGGCATGCACCACCACTGTTCAGAATGTAACTAGTTTGTATTTGAATGTATTGCGATAATATTTAAATTTTTTTTAAAGATTTATTTTTATTTATGTGTTTGTATGTATGCATCTACACATGTGTGGGGGCCTGTGAAGGCTAGAAAATGGGATTATATTCCCTGGAGTTTGGGCTGCAGTGCCTGTGAGCTGCTTGATTTGGTCGCTGAGCCATCTTCTCTCCAGCCCTAAATATTTTGATGTTAGAAATAGTGTTTGAATAACTGAGTTTCATAAGAAACTGTTTCAATGATTTGGCTTTTAAATTAGAACCAAACTTCTAACAATTTCTGAAATGATGCTAAACACATTTTTGCCATTTTGTACTACATATTTATGTGAAGCAGCATTTTCCATACTCAAGATCATAAAATCAAGATATAGATCAGTTCTGAAAAGCACTGATGATATTTTATATCTTTCAGTATCAGTTGTTCAGCCAAGTTTTAATGTTTTATGCAAAGCTAATCAAGTGCATTCTTCTTAATAGTATGTAATTCTGCCTTAGTTTTTAATATCTAGTAAATTTATATGAATCTAGAAAATTGTGTTAAAATAAATTTATGATTTATTACATTAATGTTTGATTAGTAAACTTTCTATATATACCTACATGACGGTAGATGAAAAAGTACTTGAGAGAAAAAGGTTAGCATGTAGAAAATACCTAAGAAACACCACTCTAGTAGATAAATATAGCCACCACTGCACAGTCCTTGGGGGATACACTCAGAACTCAGGTGAAGAACTTGGTGCAGTTTTTATGGTAGTGTAAGAGCTCTTAGCACAGACCTGCGACACAGCTTGAACCTCTGCATGAGTTGGAGGCAGGAGAGTTGTTAAAAACCTTGTGCTGTAATTCTGACAGTGTAAGTCATGAAAGGATTATGGATGGGACAGTGAGACCTGTGCCAAGACATCCGAGGCTGCTCTGCAGCATTAGAATTCCATAGATTAAACAGATCTTTCCCCAGTCTAAAGACAGTTCCTAAGTAACTAGAGAAGAATAGTACAGACACTGAAGTGTGCATAATATGGAGGCCTAAAATTAAAAGTAGTCCATACAGTAAATCTAAGGTCACTGAAGTGGACTTTGACAAAGAATTCAGAGTTCAGGTTACTTGCTCACAATGGTGTTGACTGCATGGCAGAGGAGCATGCGGCATTGTTATTTATGAAGCTGTGAAAGAATCGCTGCTCAAAAAAGGACAGGAAGCTTGGGAGTCCACAATTCCACAGCCACTCATAGATACAGAAGTGCCAACCACACACACAACATATCTGGATTTACCTTCCTAGAGGTTAAAACATTCTCAAAACTTTGAGGATTCACTGATATCTTACATGCAAATCCCCAGTTACAGGTTTTGTTCTATTTGATATCTGTGATTTCTATCCTAAGGTGAAGTTTTGGCTTTCCAAATGTCTGTGTGTGTTTTCATCATCACATCCATTATTCATTAGAAACCTTACAAAGCCAGTATAAAATCAATTTAATATTAATGGCATTTTATTATTTATTAAAAATATTCTTTATATACAAAGGATGAATGAAAATGAGGATATAGCTGCTCCTAGGTATGTTTGAGGAGGTTTTAATTGTAGATATGAGGGAGAGAACAGCCAGAGGAATCTGAAAGAGTCCAGATAGAACATGGCTGGTAGAACAGACCAGACCATAAAGGAGGAGGGAGGGAGAATGAGAGAGGAAGAGAGGTAAGAGGGAGACAAAAGAAGACCAAGAAGGCAAAGAGAACCAAGAGTAGAGTCAAAAGAGTGTGCAACTGAAACGGCTGGATTCTATGGGGAAGGGAAGCTGGGAGAAGGAAAGTGAAGCTCAGGGGTTGGAGCAGATTAGGGTAGGGGCTGGGATGAGAAGCGCTGAGAAGAGTCCACTGTAACAGGTACTTGCAATGCTGGGAGATGATGGAGATTCTGGCAGCCAGTGTCCACTTTGTTATGTTAGTAGGCACCTCAGTTGGCCATTTATCCTGGGTTTCCTCAGGACCTAACAGCATGAGATACAGAGATGAATCCCTGGCTAATTTCCCATACTCAGTTTACAACTATCAAGAGGATTTGTGAACAATTCAATTTTCTTAAATGTTCATTTTGTCAACAACACAGGTAGATTTTATCTATGGACTTCAATCCTTTAAGTTTCGGATTTCAGTGATACCAAACACAAACACTGAAACAAGCATGAGAGAGGTAATCCAAAACATACATACTGAGGGACACTCACATGAGAAAAAGTATGTGGCACTGAGTTCCAATATTTTATTCACTTGGATATTTGTTCAAATCACAAAACTGCACATACATGTTGGTACAACATAGCTTGACAACACTGTGGAAGACAATGAATCTTGAAGAACAAAACAGAGCCCCAAATGAAACATCCTAGGAGAAATGACAGCAAAAATAAAAATAAAGGTGGCTGGAGAAATGGCTTAGTGCTTAAGAGCACTGGCTGCTCTTGCAGAGGACTTGTGTTCAAGTCCCAACTTACCTATAGTGGCTATCAACTAGCTGTAATCCTGTTTCCAGCGGCTCTGACCCCTGCTCCTGGCCTCTGGGGACACCAGGCATACATGTGGTGCACAGAAATACATGCAAGCAAAGCACAGATACTCATAAAATAAAAGAATGATTTAAAGAAACTAACCATCTAGTCTTAGAGATTAAGATTATTTCACTAATAACATGTCAGGGTAAGGAATTCATGTAGGAGAGGATATACCACACGAGAGTGAGTGGAATGTAAGCATCTGAAAACATTTCCTTAAGAGAACAATGCTTTCAAATGAACAATAGATACCCAAGTAGGAAATAGTTTTTGGCACTATTGAAGCCATTGGATTTTATTGAACTTAAAGGCAGGTTAATGGTAATTCTGAAATGAATAATAAATCTAAATAAAACTATAAATAAATAAAGGACAGATGGTTATGACTGCATATAAGAAAAATGGTCCTACCTCACACAGCCTTGAGGCAGGGGGAGGGGCTTGGACCTGCCTCTACTGAATGTACCTCCTCAAGGGAGGCCTTACCTTCTTGTAGGAGGGAATGGGGGGTGCGTAGGGATGAGGAGGTTGGAAGGGCAGGAAGAGAGAAGAGGGGGATCTTTGATTGGTATGTAAAATGAATAAAAAATTTTCTTAATAAAAAGGAAAGAAAAATAGTCTTCAGGGCTGGAGATGGTTCAGTGGTTAAGTGTACTTTCTACTCTTCTAGAAGACCTTCAAATCCCAGCACCCACATGGTGGCTCAAAACTGTCTGTAACTCCAGTTCTAGGGGATCTGATACCCTATTCTGATCTCTATGGGGCACCAAGTACTAACATGGTACACAAATATACCTATAGGCAAAACATTCACATACATAAAATAAAATGAATAAATCTTAAAAATTACAATGAAATAATAGATCAAAAGGACAGTCCAAATGCATTATCTCCTTTTTCACAAAATCTCTACATTTTGTATGGAGGAGTCTAAAACCACATATTTTTTTAATCAATCATTTTGAATGTAAGTATACTAGGTAATATCAAAAGCAAAATTTAAACATATTATAACAAGGAAGTATAATACAGAATGAGGGAGGCTCCAGCCCACATATTAAATACTCCGTTTGCTATTAGTTGGCTGTATTCTTAGATCATCATCCTTGATCTGTCTGTTCTTGTCTTTTACATTTAAGCCAGATATTTAGAGTATTTCCAAAATCCATTATTCTATTGTGTGCAA